TCAGCAATATAAGATATGACCCTCTTCTGTGTGCTAATATGTAGAACTTCCTGTCCATTAATGTACAAAATGTAACTAATAAATCCACCATTTCACCGCTTGTTGTTATTGATCTCATTCCTCGCGAATCCTCTCATTACATATTTACTTTTTGTCACGATAACTCCTCGTAATGATTACACGTGTTGTAACGTTTTAATTAATTTTGGTGGGTTCTTTTTTCCGAAATGTAGGCTAATGGTGAAGAAAATTGCAAGTGTAATTCAGGCGGACTTTTCCTCTCGTTCTTCGCTGGCCGGTAATTGTACTAAACGATGCACGATTTCATGCACTACTTTTCAGCTAATAAATGAAAACATTAAAAACATTGTTTCTAGAGTTGTAACTTAATTAGGACGAGCAAATCGCTCTAATTCAAGGGTCAGATTCTCATCACATTTGACTTGGTTCATTAAAGCTTGAGTTTTAAGTGAACTAACTGTACTTAACCAAAAAAAAACTAAAATATACACCTCAGCGTTTCCGGTTAAACCGGAAGTTTGGTGTAACTGAGATTAACTCGTTTGGGTTAGCATAAAGCTATAATTCTTTGATTTGTCTGATGTTTTGCAAACCAACTTTTATGGCTCACTCTGTAAGAAATTTGGTCAAAATAGCAACTTTTTTTTACAAAAAGGAGACAAGATCTTCAGATATCTAACTACAGGGTGGTCCAAAAGGCTGGAAACAATTTTATTCTGCCGAAATTATCAATTTTTTGGCAAATAAATTAAATAAAAATGCTATTCAAAAAAATTTTGAATATTGATTAATTGAAATTGAAAATTTTGACAATAGATAAAGATTAACATAAATTGTAACATTTTTAATAAATATTTTTGTACATTTATAAAATGCATCCAAAAAAAACTGGTAGTTTACTCAAAAAAAAAATTTTTTTTTCTTGTAAGTCAAACATTTCTTTTAATAAAAAAAGTGTGAGGTTTACAAAAAAAATTTGCACAGCAACAATTCTTGTAACAAGCTTGTTGTGTAAAAAAAATGTGGTAGGTTTCCATTTAAAAAAATCGTTACTATATTTTTATCTCGTAAGTATAAACAATTAATTAATAATCAAATTTTTTTAATAGCATTTTTATAGCCATTGCACACCTATAAATTTAGTTGCCAAACAATTGATAGTTTCGCCAGAATAAAATCGTTTCCAGACTTTTGGACTAACCTGTATATTGTTTTTTAAATGACAGAATTTTATAAAAATGGATTTTTGAGAGACTGCTATTGCTTGAAAAATGAAAGAAAAACTCTTGATATTTTAATAGTATTGAGACAACAGTAAAAAATAAAATAATCTCCAAGTAAAAGTTTGAAAACTTGTGATTGAAGTTAGAAAACTTGTGTGATCTTGAGTCATGAATAACATAAATATCTTGAACACCTGAAGAAACACACAGAGCAGATCGCTGAAAATAAAATTTAGGAAAATAATAAAAATTTTATGTTACGATAGAGTACAAAAAAACAAACAGAGTTTTGAAATTAATAAGCTTATAATAATTCTTAATATTGAAAAACGGTGGTAAGAGCTCGAAAACAAAAGAAAACAAAAACGATAAAAGAACTTTTACTTTAGAACTAAAGAAAACTTAATTTAGTTGAGAAATAAAAATAATTAAATCTTGAAAAACCCCATTAACATTATGAGTTAACAAGGTAGCAGTTTTAAAAATTTTGAATTTGAGTAACTATGAGAAGTTAAAAAAATATACTGTTGAAGATGTTGTGAGAACTTTAAAGGTTTTTCACGATTTTGAGATATCTTTTGAGATATAGATATATCATTATTGTCTTGAGAAAATACCAAAAAAAAAGTTAATTTTTGTAAATTTTGATTTTGCTGAAGAAATTAACAAATTTCTTTAGAAAGGTGCAGGAATTTGAAAGGTTCAGAATCTTCAGGAAAGAAATTTGTGAAAAATTCACAATTTACTACTTTTTGAGATGCTCCCCAAACAAGTCGGTAGAAATCTATCACCATAATTGACGGTTTCTCTTTTCTGCCATAATAACCATAAAGATCGCGAATGGTTGATAGGTAATAATTGTTATTTTCTTACAATAGAAATAATTAAAAGAGAAACACTTCGTATTTAATTTCCTTAAAAAACATACAAAAAGTAATGCTGGTTTGGCTCGTTGTGGAGTTTTCTTCCTTGCACAATACTCAAACATAGATTTTCAAATAGCCACACCGAACTAAAAAATCCTCTGCCTATTCACAATGGAAGGTCGTAAACATCGGCTTGTAGTTAAAAGGTTTTACGACTACTTGTGTTAGTCCATGTTATCTGGGTCGTGTAAACAAAGATATTTTGCATTCGAAATGAGCTTCTTGTGGTGCAAATTGGGCACGAACAGCGATTTTGCATTTCTGTTTCCGACAAATTCTCTGATAGGAAATGAAAGTAACAAAAGCGACTTTATGGACCATGACTGAGATCATAATAACGAGCTTATGACCGCGTCATAAAACACATGCAACAACTCGGTGATCGGCAAACCGCGATAAGTACGTGCCAAGTCACACTTTTGTGGGACTTTTCAAAGACCAAAAGAAGAATTTTTACAACTTGATTTTTTCTACACAAGCTGGAACGGTATCTTAATTAAATGCATGTTTGCGGAAATGTGAGTGCAGTTAGCTGTATTCATGTTATTAATTGGGTAATTTACACCCCATTGTTTCGGAGCGCTGTGAAAAATGCGGGACATTTTTCAGATTTTCAGAATTGTTGCGAATTAGTAATTTCATTTGTCAAAAAAAAAATTAAAGGAACAAAAATTTTTCCAAAATTTTTTTGTGATATTTTAAAGACTGTAATTCATCTAATTGTTGTATCTAGGTTAAAAAAAACATTTGGAAGGTTAAAGTTTCTAGTTTTGAGACCTTTTAGCAAAAATTTTTTCTGTGCTACGGTTACAATGCAATCCTAAGTAATATCGTGTAAAAGAAATTCTTAATTTTCTTGTTTTTGTTTTTGGTCTACAGACGCCGAGAATTTTTTTTTTAGTTAAGTCAATGCATAGGCCGGATAGCATGTTCGTTCACCTTTTATACGGTCTTTTCATATTCTCTTTTTTGTTGGACTTTAAATGAAAAAGGATCCTTTTGTCTTTGATCATCCATTCCTCAGCAACCGATGACCAGAGAGAGAATATAAGAATGGTGTTAAAAACTGGGATAAATGTCTTACAAGATCCTTTTATAATTTTTTGAAATTTTTTTTTTAAACAAAATTGAATTAAAGGAAAGAGAAAAAAGTAACTTTTTGCGTTGTTTTAGTAAATCTACCGCGTATTCACTAATATTAATGGGGAGACTAATGTTCTTAGGTGTTTTTACAGCTTAATGTACCCCTCGTAGCTCTGCTAATTTTGGATCGATCTATGAAACCATTTTCTCGGACGTACTGATCAAAGTTTTGCAAAAGAATTAAAGGAACAATTACACATATTGTTTCTGAATATTATCTAATCTTCATCAAGATGGAAAAAAACAATTATTTCGACTTTTCTACAATTTTGCATTAGCTGTTTTACTTAAAATAAAAAAATTTAAACATACATTTTTTTTAAATTTTTTTTTTGAAAATTTCTAAAATCATTCAGGAAACAATACTGCTTAATT